CACAACGAAGCCGATCTGCAAGCATGGCCTTGCCTCGTTTCTTGAGGTCGCCCGGGAACCGATTTCCCAAGTATGTGTGGTAATCAGAAGGCCTTACTGGGTTGATGAAGTCCCCCGCTGTGTCGACTGAGACCCGTGCTGCTGGAACGATCGGGGCCGTGATCGGTTCAAGGTTGAGCGATCGACGCGGTGTCGAAAACCTTTGCGCTCGCCGACGCCGCACGAACCTACCGTAGTACCATCGGCAGCGCCGGTGTGTCCCTGCCCTTCAGAGTCACCCCATCATCGGCGAGCCTGCAGCTGCTCGGACAGGAGAGGGCTGAACAATTCTTGACGCTCCGCGTATCCCCACAGGCACCTCCCGCCGCTGGCGCTTCCGCCTGCGGCTGTAAAAAAAAAAGTATCCCCACAGGCTGACCCGCCCTCTGGAGCCTTCCTTGGGGCCGCAGATCAAACAAAGTATCCCCACAGGCCCATCCAGAAACGATCGCTGGGCGAGTTGCTTTGACCAGAGAAGTGCAGAATCATGCAGTGGAACAGCTGCCTTGTAAACGTATCGGGGGCGCAGAGACGGCAGGAACATTTGTCGAAACATTCAACACATGTTCCCATGCCGGGACGGCTTCATTACGTTTCTTCCCGGAGGATGCCCCTGGCGAAACGCTGGTTTTTGAAATTCCGATTGACAAAACACAGGGTGAAGTACACAGTTTCGTTTGTTGCGGATGTTTCGAGCGACGCGCTTGTTTTGCAGAGTTCGTTGAGGATGTCTCGAGCGAAACGCTTGTTTTGTGTCATATGTTGTTCCTCTCCAGGGGACCAGAATTTAGAGGATATCTTCGGTGAAATGCTTGTTTTCACGTGCCCAGGTCTTGAGGATGTCTCAATCGAGACGCTTGGTTTCACGCGTCCAGGTTCCCCAGGCAGATGTCTAGCATGAGGATTTGTTGAGTATGTCTCGAGCGAGACGTTGGTCTTTACGCGCCCAGGTTGCCCAGACAGGTGTCACTGGCAGTGGCAGTACATCAGAGCCCCGAATCATCAGGGGTAACTCGGGTCAGGGATAACTCGGGTTCGTTTTTCGGAAATCCGAACCCGAGTTACCCCGGACCCGAGTTACCCCGGATAATTCGGGCGTCCAGGGCCCCGAATCATCAGGGGTAACTCGGGTCAGGGCTAACTCGGGTTCGTTTTTCGGGAATCCGAACCCGAGTTACCTCGGACCCGAGCTACCCCGGATAACTCGGGCGCCCAAGTACACGCAGGCCCTCAGCTGCAGGCCCTCACGAGGCCCCCGGGAGAGCTCCGACAAGCCGGCGTGCAGCTCCGAGCAGTCCCAGGGCGGCCCAGGAGTGCCTCAACAAACTCCCGAGAGGACTTTTAGGAGCCAGGAGGCAAGACGGACGAAGGAGGGAGGAGAACGAGGCGGAGGCAGAGGCGGAAGCGGAGAAGGAGGAGGAGGAGGAGGAGAAGGAGGAGGAGGAGGAAAACGAAACAAAAGGAGGAGGAGGAGGAGGAGGAGGAGGAGGAGGAGGAGGAGGAGGAGGAGGAGGAGGAGGAGGAGGAGGAGGAGGAGGAGGAGGAGCAGGAGCTAGGAGAGCCTCCAGACGGCCCCGTGGGGGCCTTCGCTGCATTGCCCCACCGCACTGGATCTTCCCAAATCCTTCACAGACGACCCAAGAGAATCCCAGGAGGATTCCATGATGGCCCAAGATGGCTTCAAGATGTCATATGCAGCCCCCCAACGAATCTCCAAGAGCGCATGGTGGCAGAATACAGGCCGAGCGAGCACCATGACGACCCCCCGATGGCACGCGGGGGGCCCAGCTCGGGGCTCGAGGAGGCGAACACACAACAAAGAACTTTTTGATATCACTGCCTTGGCATCGCTCGGACGTGTGCATTTTTCCGTCGGCGAGGGCCATCGAGGAGCATTCTTGATCATTTGGCGAAAAGAACCCGCACGAAACCGAAAAAAACACGGGGAATGGACGTCCGAGCGATGCCCAGCTGCTGGTTCCCGACGGTGTCTCACGCGTGTCTAAGACCACGCGCGCCCGAGGTTCTACCCATGTGATGCAGCAGCGCGCGAGGTAGCACCGTTGCGTGAACCCAGCTGCGTGCAACATGATCGTATGCTCTGATATGCAGTTGTCCGATGTGTTGCGAAACCGTATATGTCCAATGCTCAGCTCGGAATAGTAGAACACGTGGAGCCCGCCTTTCACCAGGCAGGATCGTCCATGTATCAAGTGCGGGCCAGTGCTCGCAAAACGACCAGGACGTAGTGGGCAAGTCTACGTAACAGACAAATCATTGTGCACATTGCATGCCACACAGCTTCTGGCTGCGGGCAAGTCCGCCACCTCTCGAGGGAGATCGCCCGGGCCGCGATCCAGCAAGGTGTCCGAGATGTGCGGCTACCCCATCCCCATTCAGGTGGCCGCCCGGGGCACTCTCCTTTCGGCGGCGAGCCCAGGGAGGAAGTGAGAAGGGGCGGGCCTTCTCAGAAGGCCTTTCTCAGAAGGCCTTCTGCCTTCTCTCTTCTCCCCCAGACCCCCGACGTCACAATCTTCTATAGCGTCGACCCCCAAAGGTCTCAACCCGTTCCCCGGGTCTGGTGTTTCATCCCGAATCGTTCCGGTCCCGAGGCCCAGGCAAGGGCCTCCAGGTCGCCTTCTCTCATGACCGGGGGGGGGGGGTCTGGGTCCCGCGCTCGCCGCCGAGGCCCTTGCCTGCGCACCCTGAGATCCTGGAATTCAGCGCCCTGGCCCCTGAGCGTCTCCATGGCGACTGGGGAGGCGAGGATAGATGTACTGAGCTGAGGAGTTTCGGTGCCCTGGCATACCAAGATCCGACAGTTCAGCAATCCTCGCCCCCCCGGTCGCCGCGGCGACGGAGACGCTCCGGGGCCAGGTCGCTGAGCTGCAGGACCTTGGGGGGCGTATTGCCCCCCAGACCTCCGACCTCGTGTTTGGGCGCCCGAAATGGGTACGGAAAGAATGGGCACAATGCAGAACAGCAAATCTTGTCCCAAGCCAACCGCGGCCGCTGTGGGGCAGGCGGCCCTCTGTCTCAGATGGACACGGGCCGCGGCGACACCGACAGCGAGTCCTGTTCCCAAATGAGCAGGAACTGCTATTGGGCATTGTGCGCATCCTTTCCGTACAGTCAACGCGCCTAGTAAGGACGCGCGCCTTCATCTAGGGTACCCTTGTGTCCTTGCCTCTGAGGCTCGTCCTTGCCATTACCACCGGTCGCCCGCCGCCCCTGAAGAACCCAACTTCGGCCTCCAAGGGTCTTGCGTCCTCACCACCCGTCCTCAATACACGTTTTGACTGTACCCCTTTCGGACCTCCGACCTCGTGCTCTGTGCCGCAGCGCTGGCCGCCCCCCCTCCTGCGGCCCTCGGCCGCCCATGGGGCCTCTGCCCACGGGCCCCCGCGGGCCCGTGGGCGGGCAGGCACGCGACCCCTCCGGCGCGAGGACTCGGCCCACGGGCAGGGGCCGAGGCGGGGCCACGCGCAGGGGGGGTTGTCCACCCTGACCTTCCAGGAGGGCTGACAAAAATAGCACCAGGACGTCGACGTCCTAATTCCTGTCGAGGTTTGAGGCCGTCCAGATAGATCTATAGGTCTGGAGTGCTGTTTTCTGGCACTCGGGAAGGTCAGGGCAGAGGGGGGGGGGGGGAAGGCTTCGCAGGAGCACCCCCCCCCCTCTCAGGAGGCGCGGGCCCTCTCGGCAGAGGCAGGGCCGGCGCCCTCTGAGGAGCAGCCCCCTGCCAAGAAGCCTCCCCCCCTCCCCCTGCCCACCCCCCCCTCTGCGTGCCGCAGAGGGCCGGCCCCGGGCTGGCCAACCCCTCCTCGGTCTCCCGTCCCCTCCGGGCGGCCCCAGGGTTCTCAGAGCCGACACCGCTCCCCCTTGCCTCGTCCCCCCCCCCTTTTGGGCTTCCTGGGAGGCCCTCGTCGCCGCTGCGGGGCTCGCCCCGAAATGCTGGCCAGGGCGCGCCCCGGGAGAGGTCCGGGCAGTGGCAGTAGCGGTAGTGCGGGTGCCTCTGGGCCGAGGGCTCGGCCCCCGGGCAGGGGCCGAGGGAGGCGTCGAGGCATGGCGCTCTGGGAAACCGTCGCGGCGTCCCTGTGCCTTCCTCTCGTGCTGAGTCGGGCCTGTCCCTCTGCCGGAGGAATCCCTGAAAATAGTAAAAAGCGTCAGGGGCAATTTTTAGGACTATTTTTCATTATTGCTGTGTGTATGTGTATGTATATAGAGAGAGAGAGAGAGAGAGAGAGAGAGAGAGAGATAGAGAGAGAGAGAGAGAGAGAGAAAGAGAGAGAGAGAGAGGACACGCTTGTAGGAGGACACGCCCGACCTAACTCTTGTGCCTCTTGCCGCCGGCGCCGCCGCCCGCCGCTCCCTCCCCTCAGGACGCAGCTCCTGGGAGGTCGAACCCATCGAGGACGAACAATCGCCATGATACCGGAGAAAAACCCAAACCATAATCGTTTTAGGGCTATAGGGCTGTGGGGCTATGGGGCTATAGGGCTATAGGGCTATAAGGCTATAAGGCTCTGGGGCTGTAGGGCTATAGGGCTACAGGCCTAGAGGGCCCGGGTACCCGGTCACCCGGGCGTAGAGGGCCCGGGCGTGCCGCCGAAATCGGCGCCAACCTCAGCTAACCATATGAATCTGCTAGGACCCCTACAGAGGCAAGCTCGGATTGGGGAATAACACACAAACTTTTGGCACTCCGCGCGGATTTCTTGGATCTGCGCTGGACCTCCCTTCTTGGCGAGCGCGCGAGGAGCGGCTCCAGAGGCGCCGCAGGGGGGGGTCCGGCGCGGATCCAAGAAATCCGCGCGGAGCGCCAAACGTGTTTGTTTATCGAGTTCTTTCTTCTTCGAGCTCAACATCCGTGGTCGAACACAGGTTGGAAACGAGCCTGATCCGGCACACTCACGCTCATCGGCTCAATCTAGCTGGCTGCCTCGGGCTTGCTCCGGGGCGTCAGCTGGGCTCACTCCGGGCTGGTGTGTCTCGTTCTCACGATGATCACCCAGGAGTTGCCTCCCTGTTGACCTCCTGCCTCCCGCTCTGCGAGCGGCTGGCCCTCTTCCAGCCCCTGCCTTGGCCGCCCTCCTCTTGAGACAGGGCTGGGTTAGCGGGTCCCGCCGAGGCAGGTCTCGCTCAGGCTTAGGGTTTGGCGGGCGCGCGGGGAGGCAGCGAGCGGGGGCTGGCCTTCTCAGAAGGCGGCGGTGCTTCTCAGAAGGCCTCCAGCCCTCCGAGGAGCCCCGTGCCACTTCCGGAGCGGAGCGAGGAAGAAGCTCCGCAGAAGACCGGAGGCCTTCTGAGATTGCTGAGAAGAGGCCCAGCCGCTCCGCCTTCCCCACCGAGGACGCGCGGCCGAACGAAGCAGGGGGATCCTGGATCAGAGCGTGAATTACCTACCCCGCTTTCGCTTCCAGGAGAAACCAAGTCATACCACGCGCCTCCTCGTCAAGCGACCTGACCAGTAGAGGCCGTAGTTTGGCATCGTTTGGTATCTCTTGGAAGCGAGGGTGGTCAAAAGCGAGGTAGGTTTGTTTTCCCCCTACTGGAGGAAGATAGCACCAGGACGAGAACAGGGGGAGTCTGGGAAAGGGGGGGAAACAGGAGGGACTGGGAGCAGGGAGGGGTACGAAGTCTGTGGCGTGCAGCTGGTTCCGTCCCCGCCGCCGAGCGCCTCTCCTCGACATCTGGTCGCCTCCGGCGCTGGGAGGCGCTAGGGAAATCAGCCTCCTGAGCTGATTTGCTACCCCCCCCTTGATGAGGAGATCGCAACCATGGACTAAGGGGGCGTGGATTAGCGACGGGTCCAGTTTCCATGGGAAATCGCGGATTCCCGCCGCCGAGCGAGGCGGCACCGGCCGCATTCTGAGGATGGCACCTCCCCCGATCCATGGATCTGGCGACCGCGCGCCAAATCCATGGATCGCTAATCCATGTTTGCGCGCCCCCGACTTTATTAACAAAGTGAGCGGGGTCCTGGAGTTTGTTGACCGTTTTCGGGCTCCTGGGCGCCTTCCTGGGCCACGGGTCCGTAAAAGCGGCCTGTGACGAGTTGCTGGTTCTGGATGAGGCCCTGGGGTCCGGGACCAGTTCCCACCAGGAACCCTTGCCTTCTGTCGAGAGATGGCCCAGGAGGGCCCCTGTTCAGGGACGTGGGGCGGGGCTAGAACAAGTCAAAGACTTGAAAGATTCTGGCGGTCTTGGGTCTGGGGTTTTGCCCCGAGGCCAGGCTTGGCAGCGCCCGCATCCTTTTCGAGAGAGCCCCAAGCGGAGCCCCAACAGGCCTCACGATAGCTTGAGCTTTTTTCCCAGGGCGGCCCTCAAGAGCAGTTCAGGAGAACTCTGGCGGTGCAAAAGCGGGAGGCCCGAATCAGCAGTGTTTTGCCTGACCATCATGCCTTGATCACTCGGAGCTCTCATAGATGGGCTCGGAGGATCGCGCCGCATCGCCGATGCATCGCCGAGGCAGCGCGATCCTCCGAGCCCACTTGCTCCGACCCCATCTGGGCGGTCCCTCGACAGGGGGTGGGTGCGGAATCTGTTGCTTGCAGCTTGTTCCGGCCTCGCCGCCGGGCATCTTCCTCGATGCATGGCTGCCCCTGGCGCCAGCAGGCGCGGGACACGGGCTGCCTGCGGCTGGCTCGCCGACCCCTTCTTTTGGCGCCCCCCCCGCTTTCGTCCGCCCCGAGGCTCCTCGCGACTGCTCTGGAAGGCCCAAGCGGCAACACGAGCGCCAGCGCTCCAGAGCTCCGCGCGGCCTCCCGGAAGACGTGGGACGTGGAGGGGAAGACGAATGTCCATAAGATGTAGGAAAGACCGAGCATCCTGGGATCTGCGTCCACTTATTTGTGTGTCCCTGGGCCCCTGCACAAGCAGTCCGCGCGAAGCTCCCATCGCCTGCGTTTGTCGTGTTCGCTCTGCTTTCCAGCTGAGTTCCCGACCTCGGCCACGCCAGGGATGGGCGCGGAGGCGTCTGGCGGTGGCGGGCAGCCGCGTGGATGTCGGCGTCCGCGTTCGGCTGTAGGGGCGCCCTCCTGCCGCCGCTGCTGCTGTGGGTCTGCTGCCCCTGCGGCGCTGTGGGCACGGAGGGTGCCGGCTGCAAGTGGACGGACGCCGTCGTTGCGGGGAACGGGGCGATTTACGGAGTTCCTGGCTCTGCCAGGGCCGTCCTGAAGCTGGGCCGTGATCCAGACGGGTTCGTGACGCTCGGGGAGCTGGAGGCGGGGGAGGGCAAGTGGCAGAGCGGGGTGCTGGCCAGGAACGGCGCCGTGTACGCCGCGCCCTACTCGGCCAGTGCGGTGCTCAAGGTCGACCCTGCGTCGGACGTCGTCTCCACTTTCGGAGAGCTGGGTGGCAGGTGCTGCAAGTGGGGTAGCGTGGTGGTGGCCGGCAATGGGATCATCTATGGGATCCCCGACTACGCGAGCTCTGTTCTCAGGATCGACCCGACCTCAGAGACGGCAACCACCCACGGGGAGCTCGGAGACGGGGCCTCGAAGTGGTCCCGCGGCCTGCTCGGCAGGAACGGGGCGATCTACGCCCTGCCGCACACCTCCAGCTCGGTCCTCAAGATGGGCAGCTCCGCGTGAACCCCACCCTTGCCTCCAATCGGCCTGGACCAGCGGGGGTTGGCGAGTGGTGGTCGACTCCGTTCGGGGCCCGCTCGCAGTCTCTGGCCCACCCCACCGGCGAGCCACTTCTAGCCTTTGCCCGGTTCGCAGCAGGGCTGGGGTTCACGCGCGGCTGCCTGCAAAGATCGACCCTCGGACGGACTCGGTGACCACCCTGGGCGACTTCGGCGCCGCGCCCGGCAAGTGGGAGTGCGGCGTGCTGGCCGCCAGCGGCGCCATCTATGCCGTGCCTGCCTCTGCGGGCGCGGTCCTCAAGATCGGCGCTGGAGCTGCCCCGCCCGGCGGCGCGGACGCCACGACCCTCCTGGGCAGCTTCGGCGAGGGCGGCCTGAAGTGGCGGAGCTGCGCCGCAGCGGCCAGCGGCATCATTTATGGCATCCCTTTCTCTGCCGGTGCTGTGCTCAAGATCAACCCGTTCACGGACGAGGTCACGGTCCTGGGCCGCATGCTGCGGGTGGACCCTACGACAGGTGAGGAGTCGCCTTTTCCGACCCTGGAGGGCGGTCGGGAGAAGTGGCTGTACGCCGTCCCCAGCCGGGGCACTATCGTGGGCGTGCCCTACTCCGCGGGCTCCGCGCTTGTCATAGAGCCCCTGACCGATACGGTCAGGGTCGTGGGCGACCTGGGGAACGGCGCTGCAAAGTGGGCCAGCGCCACCATCTCGAGCAGCCGCGCCGTCTATGCCCTCCCCGCCTCCGCAGGCTCGGTGCTTCGGATCGATGCCGGCGCGCGGAACGCCTCCACGCTCGGGAGCTTCCTCGGCTCACTCCGGAAGTGGAGCGCAGGCGTGCTGGGGAAGGACGGATCGATTTACGGAATCCCTTGCACCGCCGGGGACGTGCTGAAGGTCACCCCCAGCTCGGACGCCGTCACGGAGCTGGGCAGCCTGGACGACGGGGGCCCCGGGGGCTGGCGGCTGGTGGTCGAGTGCAGGAGTTTCCGCTGCAGCGGCGGCTTCCTCCTCAGGCGTGACGCTGGCTCGCGGGTTTGCCACGAGCGCCCGTGCGAGGACGCGTGCTGCCTGCCAGCGCACACGTACGAGTGCCCGCCAGGCTACGCGAGCAGGGATCAGCGCGACGCCGTCGCTTGCATGGGGGCCTCTTTGGCGGAGGCCGACCTGGACCTCTGCTGCGCCTTGGACCTGGGGCACCCCTCGCTGCTGTTGCCCCTGGCGGCCTTTGCGCTCAGCGGCCTGCTGTGTGCCATCCGGCAGCTGATCAGGTGCCGGGCAGAACGTCTGAGCTTCGAGAGCGCGTTCAAGGTGTCCTATTTTACACTGATGTTCGCCTGGGACGTCTGCGACCAGATCGCCTCGTGGTGGTTCTGGCAGTACACCACCGTGGTCGGCGCAGGCAGAGCCATCCAGGACGCTTCCCTGGCGTCGGCGCTGCTCGGGACCGTGGTGGTCGGGGCCGCCTTCCTCGGGGGTCTCTGTCTGCCGACGGAGTACCTGATCGAGTACAGGCTGCCTGACTTTCTCTACTCGCTCGGCGCGGGCTGCGCGGACGTGATCATGCTGATAGTGGTGTTCCTCTTTGAGGCGGAGGGCTACAACGCCGGCAGCTGGATCAAGGTCCTCAACCTGGTCGCGACCATCTTCGACCTGGTCCTGAAGCTGCTCCAGGCAGGCTGGGCCCTGTGGGGAGAGCGCAGGCCCCCGGGCGAGGAGGCCTGGTGGCAGCGCTCCTCGTCATCCGCGGAGCAGGGCGCCGACGGCGGCGAGTCGCCCTCCGCCTCGGAGGGCGAGGCGGCTGCCGGCGTGCCTGGCCTCGGCCTCGGCCTCGGCCTGGGCTTTGGCCTCGGCCCCGCGTCCGCGCGGAGCCGCGCCGCCGCAGGTGCGGCGAGTGGCCTGCGGGCCGAGGCGCCCGACGAGCTCCCGTCGCACTCGGTGCTTGGCCCTCCGCCGCGCTGGCGGAAGGGCGCCGGCGCCAGCTGCGCGACGGCGGCCAGCCCTGGCGCCCTCTGTCCGACGCAGTGACAGTCAGGGACGAGCGGGCCGACCACGCGTCTGGCGCTGTGCTTGCCGCTGCCACTGCCGCAGCGCTGCTCCGCGCGGCAGCCCGGGGCGCCGCTGGATCGTGCCGCTCGCCGTCGTGCAAAGGGTGGAGCCGTCGTGGGCGCCGCCCTCGCCACGGCGGTGGAGACGCTGTCGCCTTGGCGGCGCTGCTGGTGGGCATACGCGCGCAGCAGCAGCAGCAGCAGCAGCAGCAGCAGCAGCAGCAGCAGCAGCAGCAGCAGCAGCAGCAGCAGCAGCAGCAGCAGCAGCAGCAGCAGCAGCAGGAGGCCTGGGAGAGCCTGTTGCCACCTGGCGGGCTGAGGTCGGCGCAGAGGGTCGGGAAGAAGAGGAGGAAGGTCTTCGCCCGCAGGGAGGCGGCCGTGACGGAGTGGGCTTCTCGGGAGGCGGCGACGGCTTCTGCCGAGCCCTGGGAGGGCGAGCTGGACGGCCCAGAGGGGCAGGCTCAACGGTGTCCTCGACGGCGACGACAGCACGCGGCAGGAGCTGCTCGAGGACGATTCCCCGCCAGTGGCCCGCAAGGTGAAGCCCACGCCCCCCAAAGGGAAGGGCACCGCGCCTCCGTGCCCCCGCGGGCCCAGCGCCCCGCGCCCAGCCGCAGGAGCCTGCACGGCGCCCAGCGGCCCACGTGTATAGGCCTCCCAGGGGGGTCGGGGCGCAAGAGGCGGGGGTCAGAGCAAGCGGGGGTCAGCCAGAGCGCCGGATCTTGGAACCGCTGGTTGGTGGGGGTAGGGTTCGGATGTCCCCAACTACAGACGGGTCTGGAGGATCGCGCCGCATCGCCGATGCTTCGGGGGTGCAGCTCGACGTGGAGGGGCCGTGCGGGCGACCGCGCGGCCCCCCAGAGGGGCCCTCGGGCGCGCTCCGTCGGTCGTGCCGGGTGAAGGGCCTCGGGCGCTCTGCTCCGCCCCTTCTCTCAAGGGCAGACCCCAGACCCCCCCAGGCAAGGAAAAAGAGGAGGAGGAGGAGGAGGAGGAGGAGGAGGAGGAGGAGGAGGAGGAGGAGGAGGAGGAGGAGGAGGAGGAGGAGGAGGAGGAGGAGGAGGAGGAGGAGTGAGGGGAGAAGAGGAGGAGGAGGAGGAGGAGGAGGAGGAGGAGGAGGTAGGAGGAGGAGGGAGGAGGAGGAGGAGGGAGGAGAGAGGAGGAGGAGGAGGAGGAGGGAGAGGAGGAGGAGGAGGAGGAGGGAGGAGGAGGAGGAGGAGGAGGAGGAGGAGGAGGAGGATAGGAGGAGGAGGAGGAGGAGGGGAGGTGAGGAGGAGGAGGAGGAGGAGGAGGAGGAGGCAGGAGGGGAGGCGGGTAGGAGGAGGAGGAGGAGGAGGAGGAGGAGGAGAGAGACAGGAGGGAGGAGGAGGACAGGAGGAGGAGGAGGAGGAGGAGGAGAGGAGGACAGGAGGAGGAGGAGGAGGAGGAGGAGGAGGAGGTGGAGGAGGAGGAGGAGGAGGAGGGAGGAGGAGGAGGAGGAGGGACATGGAGGAGGACAGGAGGAGTAGGACAGGATGGAGGATGGACAGGAGGAGGAGGGACAGGAGGAGGACAGGAGGAGGACAGGAGGAGGACAGGAGCGAGGAGGAGAGAGAGGAGGAGGAGGAGGAGGAGGAGGAGGAGGAGAGGGGAGGAGGAGGAGGAGGAGAGGAGGAGGATGAGGAGGAAGGAGGAGGAGGAGGAGGAGGAGGAGGAGGAGGATGGGAGGAGGAGGAGCGAGGAGGAGGAGGAGGACAGGAGGAGGAGGCGGAGGAGGACAGGAGGAGCGAGGGACAGGAGGAGAGGACAGGAGGAGGACAGGAGGGGATGAGGTGGAGGAGGAGGGGAGGAGGAGGAGGAGGAGGAGAGGAGGAGGTAGGGGGGAGGAGGGGTTGGGAGGGGGAGGAGGAGGGGGAGGGGGAGTGCTCAGTCACGCGCATCACCCAGCGCGGTCCACGACTCGCAAAGTAGCCGAGGTTGTAATTTATCCATCACCACCGCCTGGGCGGTGGACATGGATGTGTTCGAGCCCCTGGGAGCCAAACTATATCCATATCCACGGCCCGCCGGGGTACCAGGACATCGGTTCCCAGGCGGTGCTGCTCGCAAACGTCCGAAAAACACATGTTTGCCTCAATGTAGTGGATCGTAACGCCCCCGCGGCGAATCCTGGCCATTTGGGAGCAGTGGGACGCGCTTGCCGAGCGCAGAGGGGGGGTATGGGGGAGGGGGAGGGGCTTCTCAGGAGCACCCCTGCTCCTTAGGAGGCGCGGGCCTTGTCTGTAGATGTGAGGCCGCCGCCTTCTAGGAAGCGGCTTGCTTCTGAGAAGCCTTTCCCCCTCTCCCTACCCCCCATTGTGCGCGCCGCCAACTTGTCCAGGCCTCCCAAGCGGGGTCCAAGGATCGCTCCAGCAGTGTGGTTCTGGCACCACCGCAGCGTCCGCGCGCACGACGACGACGAGCGACGAGCGACGAGCGACGAGCGACGACGACGACGACGACGACGACGACGACGACGACGACGACGACGACGACGACGACGACGACGACGACGACCGCGACGACGACGACGACCGCGACGACGACCACGACGACGACGAAGACCGACGACGACGACCGACGACGACGACGACGACGCCGGGGTCCAAGGATCGCTCCGCATCGCGGATGCATTGCCGATGCGTCGGCGATGAAGCGGCGATGCGGGGCGATGCTTGGACCCCACCTGCTCGGGCCCCACGTGGGAGGCTCCTGCCTGAAGGGCCAGGCTTAAGTCGGGCCTGTCCCTCTCCGGGAGGAGTCTTTGAAGACAGTAGTCGTTACTTTTCCTCCACAAGCCGCCCGTAGGGGGGACACGCCCAGCTTGAGGCCAGGCGCGGAGTCCTGCTGGCGCGGCCCTCCCTGCTCTGGGCGGGTCCCGTGGGCGCTGTCGTCTGCCCCTGCCCGTGCCGCTGCCGCCGCCTTGGCCGGCGTCCTCGTCTTCGCCATCGCCCGGGGCACTGCGTCTTCGCCCTCGTGCTCGTGTTTTCGCACTCGTCGTCTTGGCTCGGCGGCGAGCGAGTGGGGGAAGGGAGACGGAGAGGGCCTTCTCAGAGGGCGGCGGGGCTTCGCAGCAGGCCTCGCGCCTTCTCAGAGGTCTTCCGTGCCTTCGGGGAAGTCTTAGACTGCTGCTCGTAAGGCCGGGGGACTTCCGAGCCCTCTGAGAAGGCCCGCCCTTTCTGACTTCCCCCTGGGCTCGCCGCCGCTTGTAGTACACCTCAGGCGATGCTTAAGAAAACTTAAGTTTTCGTCCATAATCTCGATTATTCTTAACTTTTCAATGTAACTCCCAAGATTTTGATAGAAGTTCTGGGTTTTGTTCAAGTCCTGAGACCATGAATTTCTTAACCCATGATTTCTTAAGCATTTCGCAGGGTGTAGAAGAACAAGGCCATAACCATGAACGGTTGGCGCTCCGAGCGGAGCGCCAACAGTTTTTGTTTATGCCTCTGTTCCTCTTCCAGATTGGTGCATCTTCGCTGCACGGTGCACGCGTCTCAAGAGGGGAAAAAACACACAGACACAATTAATCCTCGATTCCCCAGAAAATATGGTAAAATATGGGCAGTGGGGGGGAAGACAAACACCCAGAAAATATGGGAAAATATGGGGAATATATTTATTTGTGTGTATTTATTTGTGTGTCCCAGGGCCCCTTTGGCGTCGTGTGTGCGGGGGGCATATGCCGTGGCGCGCAGCCTCCGACGTGCAGGGGAAGTAAAGGAAGGCATGCACTCTGGATCGGGGGGGCGGGCCATGCGTGGGCGTGCGCGCGAGGTTTTACTCGTCTTGTTCGTCTTCGTGGCCCTCCTCCTCCTCCTCCTCCTCCTCCTACTCCTTATTCTCTCCCAATTACACCTCCCCCTCTCCCTTCCTGTCCCCCCCCCTCCGTCCCCCTCATCCCTTCTCTCCCCCCTACCCCACCTCCTTCGCAACTCCACAACTGCACATTTTGAATGCCACTCTCCTCTGTCCCCTTGACTCTGTCCAGAAGATATTCGGCCCTCTCCGCGTATTGGTTTTCACACGCAGTTCAATGTTGATTACTTTTGCTTTTTTGCAATCACATTGTTTTCGGTGTTTACAACTGGTGCTCAAGCTGAAGCGTGCGTCTCATTCTCGGATTGGCGCCTTGCTTCCGTCGTTCAGAATGGCTTCTGCTGTCGCTGCTCGTCCTCGTCTTCCTCTTTCCTCCTTCCTCTGCTCCTTCTCCTCCTGCTCGTTCTCCTTTGTATCCGCCACCTCCTCGAAGCTTTGGAGTTCCAGGTCCGCTATGACACGTGTCGGCGGATAGAGAAGAACCAGCGCAACGGGAAGGGATGGGTGGGAGGAAATAAGATGTCAGATATAGCGCGAGCGCACCGAGCTTGCCCCTTTCCCTCTCCCCCTCCCCCTCCCCGGTTCCCTTCCCTTCTCTTGGAGGTGCCAGCGTGCTTCCTGGGTGCATATTGGGCCATCTCGGAGGCCTCTGGTAGAGAATACGGGATTGTGGCGGTGGTGGTGCTGCTGAGGAGGAGGAGGAGGAGGAGGCGGATGATGAGGAGGAAGACCAAGATGCGGATTCGGACCAGAAGGCGGGAGGATGAGGATGAGGAGAAGGAGGGGGAGCAGGAGGCGGAGAAATCAGTAACAGTTAGGGATGGGGAACATGATGGACACAATGCTAAGGGTAAGGGTAATGATGCTGACATGATGATGAGACTGATGCCGAGGATGATGATTCTGATACTGCTGCTGATGATGCTGATGATAATGTTGATGCTGATGATGATGCTAATGATGATGGTGATGGTGATGGTGATATTGATGGGGATGATGATGGTGATGAGGATGATGATGGTAGTGGTGATGATGCTGCTGCTGATGCTGATGATGCTGATGCTGATGCTGATGCTGATGCTGATGCAAATGCTGCTGCTGCTGATGATTAGGGTGATGATGACAATTCTTACGTATGCTGATGCTGATGGTGGTGATGCTGATGCTGATGATGAGAATGATGATGCTGATGATGCTGATGATGCTGATGATGAATGTGGTGGTGATGCTGATGCTGATGCTGATGGTACTGATGCTGATGCTTCTGCTGATGCTGATGCTGATGCTGATGATGCTGATGCTGATGCTGCTGCCGATGATGATGCTGCTGCTGATGATGATGCTGATGATGATGATAATGATGATGATGGCAGTGGTGATGATGCTGATGATGATGAAGTTGATGTTGATGATGACGATGATGAGGATGATGATGATGATGCTGATGCTGATGATGATGATGCTGATGATGATGATGATGATGATGATGACGATGATGATGATGCTGCTGCTGCTGATGATGATGCTGTTGTTGATGATGTTGATGATGATGATGCTGATGATGATGATGATGATGATGCTGATGATGCTGATGATGATGATGATGATGATGATGATGATGATGATGATGATGATGATGCTGTTGCTTTTGAGCGGCATAGCTGGGCTACGTGATTAGTCGGATGTTGCTGCTGATGGTGACGATGGGCATGACAAGGGTGATGTTGCCGACCATGATTGATGTTCCTGGAGAGGGATGCGGGAGACGACGGAGGAGGATGAGGTATGCGGAGGATGAGAAGGAATAGGGAGAGAAGGCAGTCGGGGGATAGGGAGGGGAGTGAGTTCGTAGGTGGAAGTTGGCCATACTGGGAAGGAGAGGGCGAGATCTATTGAGGGATTGGGGCCAGGAGTGCGCAGGGACCAGGGGTACAGGATGCGGTGGCATGACGATATTATGATGGCGGTGATGCTAATGACGACGACGACGACGCCGATGACGATGATGCTGACGATGCTGATGATGATGGTGCTGATGATGATGCTGATGATGATGATGATGATGATGATGATGATGATGATGATGATGATGATGATGATGGTGATGATGATGATGATGATGATGATGATGATGATGATGATGCTGATGATGATGATGATGATGATGATGATACTGGTGATGCCGACGATGCTGCTGATGATGATGATGGTGCTGATGATGACGATGGTGATGTTGATGATGCTGATGACGATGCTTCTGCTGCTGACGGCGACGACGACGAGGTTGACGAAGATGTTGACGCCGACGACGCCGACGACGACGATGGCGATGCTGCTGATGCTGATGATGGTGATGATGCTGATGATGACGAGGAGGAGGAGCAGGAGGAGGAATAAGAGGTTGAGTAGAATGAAGATGAGGGTGATGATGCTGATGCTGCTGCGGCGGCTGGCGATGATGATGGCAGTGATTGTGATTATAATGGCCATCGTGCCGATGATTATGCTGATGAGGATCATGTGGATGCTGATGATGATGATGATGATGATGATGATGATGATGCTGATGATGATGATGATGATGATGATGATGATGATGATGATGCTCATGCAGATGCTGGTGATGCTGATGGCGGTGATGACGCTGATGCTGATGATGCTGCAGATGCTGATGACGAGGATGAAGCGGATGAGGCGGATGCGGAGAATGGGGGACGATTATGATGATGATGTTGCGGATGAACATGTCGATGACGATGATGGTGGTGATGGTGGTGATGATGATGAAGATGAAGATGAATATTCTGATGATTATGCTGATGATGACGATGGCCATAATGACGATGCTGCTCATGATGCTGATGATGCGGCTGATGATCTGCTGATGATGCCGATAGTGATGATGCGATGCTGATGCTGCTGATGAGGATGATGGTGACTATACTGATGATGCTGATGATTGTAAGGATGCTGATGCTGATGCTGATGATGATGATACTGATTGCTATGCTGATGATGATGTTGATGGTGATGCTGATGATGCTGAGGATGATGATGCTGATAATGATACTGCTGATGATGACTTTGTTGATGATTATGCTGATGCTGATGATGATGCTGATGATGGTGGTGGTGACGCCGCTGATGGTTGGGATGATGATGCTGATGCTGCTGCTGCTGATGATGATTCTGGTGATGCTGCTGCTGATGTTGTTGATGATGACGATGATGCTGATCATGACGCGGCTGATAAGGACCATGAGGATGATGATGCTGATGCTGATGCTGGTGATGCTGATGCTGCTGATATTGACGATGACGGTAAGGATGATAATGGTGATGCTGATGATGCTGCTGCTGATGATGCTGATGGTGATGCTGAGTATGCTGAGGATGATGCTGAAGCTGATGCTGATGATGCTGATGACGATGCTGTCTTTTATTGGTGGTCATGCTATTGCTGATGCTGATGCTGATGCTAGTGGGATGATGGTGCTGCTGATGATGGTGGTGATACCGATGATGGTTATGCTGATGCTGGTGATGCTGAGTCTGATGATGATGATGATGATGATGATGATGATGATGACGATGATGATGATGATGATGATGATGATGATGATGCTGGTGCTGATGTTGATGATGATGCTGATGATGATGCTGCTGATGCTGATGATGATGCTGAGGATGCTGAGGATGCTGATGCGGATGATGATGATGATGATGATGATGATGATGATGATGCTCATGTTTATGATGCTGATGATGCTGATGATGCTTATGCTGATGATTCTGCTGACGATGATGTTTTTGGTGAGGGTGATGATGTTGATGAGGAGGATGATGAGGCAGCTGCTGCTAATTGTGGTGATACTGATGATGAGGATGCAGCTGACGATGATGATGATGATGCTGCTGATGATATTCATGATGATGGTGATGGCGATGGTGGTGATGATGCTGCGGATGATGAGTATGCTGATTATTATGATGATGCAGCTGATGATGCCGATGATGGTGCTGCTTCTGATGATGCTGATGATGATGATGCTGATGATGATTATGATGATGATGATGCTGATGATGCTGACGATGATGATGATGATGATGATGACGATGATGATGATGCTGATGCTGATGCTGATGCTGATGATGATGATGATGCTGCTGATGATGATGATGATGATGATGCTGATGATGATGATGATGATGATGATGATGACGAAGCTGATGCTGCTGATGATGATGCTGCTGCTGATGATGCTGATACTGAGGATGATGAGGATGATGATGATGAAGAAGATGATGTGCTGATTCTGATGTTGCTGCTGACGATGAGCAGGGGGCGCCCGCAGGTAGCGCTCTTCCATTCTATCAAACCGCTGTTCAGGAGCGGCGCGGCCTGCCCAGCGGAGGCTGAGGGGCCTGGTCTCGGCAGGGGCTGCGAGGGTGAGGAGGAGGAGGAGGAGGAGGAGGAGGAGGAGGAGGAGGAGGAGGAGGGCAGGAGGAGGAGGAGGAGGAGGAGGAGAGGAGGAGGAGGACGGAGGAGGAGGAGGAGGAGGAGGAGGATAACAGACTAGCCTCTGCGCTGCGCGCAGTCCTCCCCACCTCTCGGCCTGCACGCGGGTCTGCGTCTGCAGGCCGCCTGCTCAGCGGTCCACGCCGAACGCGCCGACTGGGGCGACGGTCCCCCGCCGTCCGATGCAGAACGGCCACATGACGAAGACGTAGTCGCTAGGGGAATAGCGCTCCCCCCCACCTCCTGAACCAGCCGAGTACCGAACCTCGACCTGGCGAAGAGCGCCACGACCGAGTTTGTTTCCAGCTGCTCGGGCTTGCACTCTTTCTCCGCACACTCACGGCAGCTAGCGTTTGAACGCGCTTGCTGCCTCAAGGAGTTGCTGCACCCCAGCCTTGTGCTTTCGCTCCCTCGCTTCGGCCGTGAAGTCGATGCAGGAGGAGGGGAAGGAGGAGGAGGAGGAGGCGGAGGAGGAGGAGGACGAGGACGAGGAGGAGGAGGAGGAGGACGAGGAAGGTGGTGGGGGAGGAGGATGATGGTCGATATTCTATGTTCTTGAACATTGTGTTTGTGTTGGGGGGCGCGCGTCGCCACGTGTAGATTCGCCACGAACTTCTTGCCGGAACGCACCCCAGCTGAGGAGAGGCGTTGGTCCGAACGGGTGGTCCGAAAGGATGAGTTGGGACAGAGGGGTGATGCGACAACTGTTGCGTGCAGCCGCTTCGGTGGCGGGTGCTCGTCAGGAAGTCTCTTCCGCTGGGTGTCCCTTTGTCTGGCCCTCGCCCCGTTCGCTCTCGGGCCATCGCTCGGCGCTGTTCCTCGCCGCGCCGTGCGACACCTCTCTTCATGGGAATTCGTGCTCCGCAGGAACCGACCGCTGCTGATCTGCCTCAACAAGACGGACCTGAAGAAGCTCAGCGAGCTGTCGGAGGAGGACGGCGCCCCGCGGCGGCCCCCCCAGGTCGGCTGCCAGGCCGCGGCGGGGGGGGGCCGAACTGCACAGCCCAAGCGGGCCCTCCGCGGGCCCCCGCACGGGCGAGGGGGGCGGACCCTTGGCTCCTCCTCTGGCTGAGGGGGGGGGAATCCACCTGCACCCTGGCTGCCCTGACGCTGCGCGTCGGCTCAACGTGTTGGCCCACATTCGGGCCCACCTATCGCGCCAGACCTACGTTTTCAGCCCGAGCTCTGTGTCAACACGCCACGGGTTGCCGTGGTTCGTATCGGTGCAGGCCAGACCGGCATCGCTGCTACGTACTCGTCTTCTTTGTGCGTCGGCCCGGCAAGGGTGAAGCGCACGTGCAGATGCTTCTGATACAAGCTCCGTGGCGGGCGCAGGGGCTCAGCGCGGGACGGGGCCCGCTTCGCTGCCCACGGTTTCAAGCGTTTGTCGGCTGGGTCGTCCGATTCGTTTCCCCTCTTCTCCTTGTCCTCCTCCTCTTCCCTCTCCTCATGCACGGAAATACGCGGGCGATAACTGTCACGGGTAGCTCCTGGTGTCGTTATATCGTCTGCCATGCCGAGGTTCTCTGAACGAGTTTGCTTATTGCTGCAGGACGCTCCGAGGGGAGTTCTGACTTCTAGCAGCCGTCAGTCGGCCCGAGCTCGACGTTCGCTGTCACAGCCGCGGCGCGCGTGCCCCGTGGCCGCCCCCCCGGGGGCAAGGGGAGCGCGGCGCGCGCGAGGGGCAGCGCCGCGGAGAGGCCCGCGGCGAGCGACGGCTCCAGGCCTCGGCCGCAGAGCTCGGCGGCGAGCGAGAAGGGGGTCGGGAGAGCAGGAGAGTTTCCACCACCGCTGCCACAGGCAGCGCGGGGGAGAGGAGAGGATGGGGAGGTCCTCCTCCTCCTTCTTTCCCTCCTCCTCCTCCTCCTCCTCCTCCTCCTCCTCTTCCTCCTCCTCCCTCCTCCCTCCTCCTCCTCCTCCTCCTCCTCCTCCTCCTCCTTCTCCTTGTCCTCCTCCCACTCCTCCCTCCTCCACCTCCTCCTCCTCCTCCTCCTCCTCATCCTCCTCCTCCTGCCTCCTCCTCCTCCCCATCTCCTCCTCCTCCCTCCTCTCCTCCTCCTCCTCCCCTTTCTCCTCCTCCTCCTCCTCCTCCTCCTCCTCATCCTCCTCCTCCTCCTCATCCTCCTCCTCTCCTCCCCTCTCCTCCTCCCTTCCTCTCCTCCTCCTCCTCCTCATCTCCTCCTCCTTCCCCTCCTCCTCCTCCCTCCTCCTCCTCTCTCCTCCTCCTCCTCCTCCTCCTCCTCCTCCTCCTCCTCCTCCTCCTCCTCCTCCTCTCCCTCCTCGTCCTCGTCCTCCTCCTCCTCCTCCTCCTCCTCCTCCTCCTCCTCTACTCTTCCCTCCTCCTACTCCTTCCGCCTCCTCCTCCTCCGCTCCTCCTCCTCCATTCCTCCTCTTCCTCCTCTCTCCTCCTCCTCCTCTCCTCCTCCTCCTCCTCCTCCTCCTCCTCTCCCCCCCTCGTACCTACGGTAGTGGTGGTGACAATCGGCCCTGCCAGGAGGCCTTCTCAGAAGGCGGCGGGGCTTCTCAGAGGCCCCTGGGCCTTCTTAGAAGACGCTGTCGGTGTCATCCGGGGAGGCTCCTGGAACCTTTCTCAGAGCGCCCACTCCGCGGCCCTCTGCGCCTTCGGAGAAGGCACGCCCCGTCCGACTTCCCCTCCTGGTGAGCTGCCGGGCGCCCAGACGGCTCGGGGGCGGCCAAGAGGGGGGTGATGACTACGTGCGTAGTCAAGGGGCCTAAGGACACACAAATAAATACACGCAAATGACAGGATTCCCCATATTTTCCTATATTTTCTGGGTTTTTGTCTTCCCCCCCACTTCCCATATTTTCCCATACTTTCTGGGGGATACGACGATTAATTGTGTCTGTGTGTTTTTTCCCTCCTGACGTAGGGGTGGTGGATCTCATGGCGGAGGCCACGAGATCTCCGCAGCTCTCACGGCGCCTCCTTCTGTTCCAGTGCGCCCTCCGGCCCTCCCTGGGCCGCGCACGTGCCTGGGGCCATGATCTGCGCCCCCCCTCTCGGACCCCCCCCCCCCTCGGACACCCCCCCCCGTTGGGCGCCCCCGAACGGCGCACAGGCAGGAGAAACTGCTCCTCGGACGGCGCTCGGGAGAGGGCTGCGCGCAGCGAGGAGGCGAGGGGGAGAGCAGGGAGGGGAGGGCCTCTGGCGAAGCGAGCTGCTTCCCCAGCCTGGCCCTGCGGGAGCCGGCTTCGGGCGCCCCGGGGCCTGCCGGACGACCCGGGACGAACGCGGCGGCACGAGTCCCCCCAGCACGACCCGAGGCGCCCCAGCAGCCTTCGACATCCCCTTCCTTGAGCCAGCCCTTCTCGCCGTTCGAAAGCTCGAAAGCCACTGGTCGGAGGAGGAGGAGGAGGAGGAGGAGGAGGAGGAGGAGGAGCAGGAGGAGGAGGAGGAGGAGGAGGAGGAGGAGGAGGAGGAGGAGGAGGAGCAGGAGGGGGAGGAGGTCGAAAGCTCTACGGCCCACGGGCTGCAGCAGTCACGACGGCGGAGGTCCGGGACCGGCGCTGCCGACCTGATTTTTCTTCCGCGGGACTCGAGCCCGATCGACCCGTGAGGATGCTCAGGCCTGGAATGGGGGCCTGGTTCCCCGTCGTGATTTTTGCCATGCCGCAAGGGGTCGAGAGTTAATAGTCTGGAGCAGAAGCGGGAGGGAGAGTGAGATCGTGTACTCGATAGTGGGACAGATGGGGGGAAGTAATTATTCTGCATTCCACCGTCGGTCCCCAAACGCACGAGATTGGACCCGACTGGCCTCGAGCGACGCTGCCTGAACACAATTGGACTCGCACGCCTTCCACGTGCATATGACGGACGGCACAGCCTCTCTGAGCAGACTTGGCAAGACCCTTTGCGCGGCCACGGCCCCGCCCACCCCGCCCTCGAGGGCCCTGGCACTCACCGCCGCGAGCCTTCCGCGTCCGTGCCGTGCCGTCGGCCCTCGCGCGCTCGCGCGCTCGCTCCTCGAGGCCCCGATGCTCTGACCTCGGGGGCGCCTCCCCCCCCCCCCCCCCAGTTCGCGACTGGGCCGCGGTGCCGTGCGTCCCCCTTCCCGAGGAGCGAAGGCCCATCGCCTCGGTGCGGCCCCTCCCCCGCCCCCCGCCCCTCGTTCGCCCCCCGCCCTCGTCCCCCTCGCCCCGCGTCCCCTCCTCCTCGCGCCCCCCTTGCCCCCCCCTCGGCTCGATGCTCCCGCCCCCGCCCCCTCGCCATCCGGCTCGATCCCTCCCTCGCCCCTCGCCCCCTCGCCCCCTGCCCCCCCCGCCCCCCGCCCTCCCCTCGCCCCCGCCCCCCTCGCCCCCCCGCCCCCTCGCCCCCCGCCCCCTCGCCCCCCCGCCCTCGCCCTCCCCTCGCCCCCTTCCCCCGCCTCTCGGCCCGCCCCTCCGACCCCCTGGCGCGGCTCCGCGCTCCCGCGGCGCGCGCGCGCGCCCCGCCCACCTCCCGAGAGGGGACGGCCACGGCCTCGCCGACGAGTGCGCACGCGCCCGCCGCGCGGGCCGGCTCGGGGGCCGTCGGCGGGGCGCTTCCTGTGGGGCGACGAAATCTATGCATTTCCACTGCTGCTGGCCAGGATCATCCGGGGCCCAGGAGTAGTGTATATACGACCTCCTGGTCTGGCCAAAGAGGCGTATACAGTATTCCTGGCCCCAGGATGGGCCTGGCTTGCAGCAGTGGATATGTATAAATCTCGTCGCCCTATTCCTCCACCGCGGCGGTGCAGCATGCGATCTGCGAGCGAAAGCCCTCCCTGAGGGGACCGCCCCCGGGTCCGAAGCACTGGGCGTCGGAAGCCTTGGGCGCGATGAGCGCCGAGGGCCCAAGCAGCTGTTGTACTGTTCGCGTCGCGAAGCGCATCAGCAGCAGCGCTGCCCTCCTGCCCCCCCACCCCCCTGGGCGCCTGTTGCGAAGCGCAGCGTACCTCAAACACGACGACCGCAACGATCACACACTTTCGGATCTCCGTGCGGAGTTCTCGGATCGACGCTGGGCCCCCCTGGCGGCGCCTCCTGTGCCGCCCCTGGCGCACTCCGCGCGCCGGGGTGGTAGTCCAGCGCCGATGCAAGAAATCCGCGCGGACTGCCGATGCAAGGGACATTCCAAGAATCCCGCGGCGCGGCGCGCCTAAAATTCTGCGGAGGCCCAGACTTTGTAAGTCTGTCTCTGTCCCCAGCCATCTCGTGGTGTTGGGTCCTCGTTTTGGAGAGAGCGCCCCGCGTCTCCACCTCCTATCCCCCGTCCTCCCTCTCTCCCTCCCTCCCTCTCTCCTCCCATCCGTGCTTCCGCCCTCCGCATGTCCATTCTGGTACACCCCTCACACGTGACCTTCTCGTGGCCCCATAGGGAGCTCCGCCGAAGGCCTCAGTTACAGAGGCCACATGCGCCCCCCCATAATTTCGGCACACCCCTCGCGAGTGTCGTGGCCCAACAGGGAGCGCCGCCGAAGTCCCCACATGGCAGTGGCCACGTGCCCTTTCCTCATTTATTTTGGGACACCCCTCGCGTCTCGTGGCCCCATAGGAGGAGGAGGAGGAGGAGGAGGAGGAGGAGGAGGGAGGAGGAGGAAAGGAGGAGGAGGAGGAGGGGGAGGAGGGCAAGGAAAGTAGAGGAGGAGGAGGGGCGGCGGAGGAGGAGGCGGAGGAGGCGGAAGGGGAGGAGGCGGAGGAGGAGGAGGAGGATGAGGAGGAGGAGGAGGAGGAGGAGGAGGAGGAGGAGGAGGAGGAGGAGGAGGAGGAGGAGGTGGAGGAGGAGGAGGAGGAGGAGGAGGAGGAGGAGGAGGAGGAGGAGAGAGCTCGACCGAAGGCCCGAGTGGCAGTGCTCACATGAGTCCCGCCCGCCCATTCCGGGACACCCCTCACAGGTTTCGTTGCCCCATGGGGAGCTCCATCGCAGGCCACAGTGACAGCGCTCACATGCGCTTGCCCGACCCATATCCTCGACCCATATCGGCACCCCCCTCCTTCGTTTCGTGACCCTATAAGGATCTCCACCGGCACACACACGCACACACTTCACACGGTTCGTGACCCCATAAGGAGCTCCGCAGAAGGCCCCAGTGGCCGGGTCTCGCATGCGCCCCCACCCACCCATCCTTTCGGCACACCCTCGCACTTTGTGGCCCCAGAGGGAGCGCAACCGAAGGCCCCAGTGGCAGTGCTCGCATGCGCCCCCAAACCAGTTTCGGCACAACCTTCACATGTTTCGTTGACCCATGGGGAGCTCGACCGAAGGCCCCAGCTGGCGCACCCCTCACACGTTTCGTGGCCCCATGTGGAGCTCCACCGAAGGCCCCAGCGGCAGTGCTTACTTGCATCCCCCCCGCCATTTCGTCACAGCTCTCACGCGTTTCGTGGCCCATAGGGATCTCCTTCGAAGGCCCCCGTAGTTTCGGCACATACCTCACACGTTTCGTGGCCTCATAAGGGAGCTCCACCGAAGACGATGCTCACCATTGCGTTATTCACTATTGCACACGGTTGGGCGTTCCTCGCCAGGATAAGTGACAACAGTGTTTTTTTGAATTCCCTGTAGGCTTACTCGCCATTCTTCGTTCCCGTAGCAGCGCAGTGGGGCTCCCGCTCGCCCCCAGGACCGGAAGCTCATCGAGTCGATGAAGGACGTGGACACGGACGGGGGGAACGTCCAGTTCTTCGAGACCTCGTGCGTGACGCGCGAGGCACAGCCGTGGCCGCGGCCGCGGCCCGCCTGACGCGCCGCCGCCGCCGTTGTGGAGGCCATGCGACGATGGCGTCGTCGTCAGGCCGGGAAGGGGGGGGGGACGGGGATGGGGATGTATGAGTGTGGGAGGAGGAGGAGAAAGAGGAGGAGGAGGAGGAGGAGGAG